GCTATTCATCAGAAACATATCTAATCCTTTCTTGAATCTGTTGATTGATTCTGCCTCCACTGCACTCTGGGCAGCGAGTTCTACAGATTTACAAGCCTCTGAGAGAAGTAGGTTCTCCTCATCTCAGTGACAAAGACAAGTGGTAGTTATAGGGGATTCTATATAGGGGGATAGATAGTATCCTTTGCAAGCCGGATCGGGAATCCCGCATGGTGTGTTGCCTGCCCGGTGCCAGGGTGCAGGACATCTCTGACCGGCTTGAAAGGATATTGGAGCGGGAGGGGGAGGATCCAGTTGTTGTGGTCCACATTGGGACTAACAACATAGGCAAGGCGAGGACGGAGGACCTGTTTGGGGATTAACAAGCACTAGGAACGAAATTAAGGAACAGGTCCTCGAGGGTCATAATCTCCGGATTACTGCCCGAGCCACGTGCAAATTGGCTTAGGGATAAGAAAATTAGGGAAGTAAACACGTGGCTAAGGGAGTGGTGTGGGAAAGAGGGGTTCCATTTCATGGGGCATTGGCATCAGTTTTGGAACCGGAGGGATCTGTACCGATGGGACGGTCTCCACCTGAACCGATCTGGAACCAGTGTTCTTGTGAAAAGGATAAATAGGGTGGTCACTAGGACTTGAAACTAGTGAGTTGGGGGGAAGGGAAAGGGAAAACGACAGGGAGTATGATGGTAAATAAAAAGGTAAGCAGCAGGTTAGCATGTGTGCAGGAGGGTTTAAGTTCAAGGCAGACTATGAAAGAAGCAAAAAGGAAGGATAACTCAGGAGATATTATTAGAGATGTTGGAAATCATGAGGGTAAGAAAGCTAGCATAAAGGCACTTTACCTGAACGCTCGTAGCATTCGTAACAAGGTTGATGAGTTATCGGCACAAATCATCGTGAATGAATATGATTTTGTAGCCATTGCGGCGACATGGTTACAGGATGGTCACGACTGGGAGTTAAATATCCAAGGGTACCAGACTATTCGGAAGGACAGACAGGAAGGTAAGGGAGGTGGTGTAGCTCTGATATTCAAGGACGCCATCAGGGCGTGCTGAGAGGTGATATAGGTTCTATGGAGAATGAGGTTGAATCCATTTGGGTGGAAATTAGAAATTCTAAGAGGAAAAAATCACTGATAGGCGTAGTCTATAGGCCACCAAGTAATAACATCACATTGGGGCGGGCAATAAACAAAGAAATAACTAATGCCTGTAAAAATGGTACGGCAATTATCATGGGGGATTTTAACCTACATGTAGATTGGTTGAACCAGCTCGGTCAGGGTAGCCTTGAGGAGGAGTTCGTTGAGTGTATCCGTGATAGTTTTCTTGAACAGTATGTAATGGAACCGACGAGGGAGCAAGCTATCCTAGATCTGGTCCTGTGTAATGAGACAGGAATAATTAATGAATACAGAGTACTGGGCTAATGGTAAGATTCTTGGTAGTGTGGATGAGCAGAAAGATCTCGGTGTCCATGTGCATAGATCACTGAAAGTTGCCACCCAGGTTGATAGCGTTGTTAAGAAGGCGTACAGTATGTTAGGTTTTATTGGTAGAGGGATTGAGTTTCGGAGCCATGAGGTTATGTTGCAGCTGTACAAAACTCTGGTGCGGCCGCACTTGGAGTATTGCGTACAGTTCTGGTCACGACATTATAGGAAGGATGTGGAAGCATTGGAAAGGGTGCAGAGGAGATTTACCACGATGTTGCCTGGTATGGAGGGAAGGTCTTATGAGGAAAGGCTGAGGGTTTTGAGGCTGTTTTCGTTAGAGAGAAGAAGGTTAAGAGGTGACTTGATAGAGACATACAAGATGATCAGAGGATTAGATAGGGTGGACAGTGGGAGCCATTTTCCTCGGATGGTGATGGCTAGCACGAGGGGACATAGCTTTAAATTGAGGGGTGATAGATATAGGACAGATGTCAGAGGTACGTTCTTTACTCAGAGAGTAGTAAGGGCGTGGAATGCCCTGCCTGCAAAAATAGTAGACTCGCCCACTTTAAGGGCATTTAAATGGTCATTGGATAAACATATGGATGATAATGGAATAGTTTAGGTTAGATGGGCTTCAGGTTGGTTTCACAGGTCGGCGCAACATCGAGGGCCGAAGGGCCTGTACTGCGCTGTAATGTTCTATGTTCTATGTTCTATAATGACCTCATAGTTAGGGATCCATTTGGAAGGAGTGATCACAGTATGGTTGAATTTAGAATACAGGTGGAGAGTGTGAAAATAAAATCCAATACCAGGGTCCTGTGCTTGAACAAGGGGAACTACAATAGAATGAGGGAGGACTTGGCTAAAGTAGACTGGAAACAAAGATTTTATGGTGGGACAGTTGACGAGCAGTGGAGGATTTTCAAAGCAATTTTTCAAAGTGCTCAGCAAAAGTATATTCCAATGAAAAGGAAGGACTGTAAGAAAAGGGGTAATCTGCCATGGGCGTCTAAAGAAATAAAGGAGGCTATCAAATTGAAAGAGAAGGCATACAAAGTGGCCAAAAACAGTATGAAACTAGAAAATTGGGAAAACTTGAAAGGTCAACAGAAAGCCACAAAAAGAGCTATAAAGAAAGGTAAGATAGAACATGAGAAAAAACTAGCACAGAATATAAAGACAGATAGCAAAAGTTTCTATAAATATATAAAACAAAAAGAGTGGCTAAAGTAAACGTTGGCCCTTTAGAGCATGAGAAGGGGAATTTAGTTATGGGATATGATGAAATGGGCGAGGCATTGAACAGGTATTTTGTATCGGTCTTCACAGTGGAGGACACTAATAACATGCCAGTAATTGACAAAGAGACGAAGGTAGGTGAGGACCTGGAAACAATCATTATTACGGAAGAGGTAGTGTTGGGCAAGCTAATGGAGCTAAGGATTGATAAGTCTCCTGGCCCTGATGGAATGCATCCCAGAATACAATGTAAATAAATGTGAAGTCATACATTTTGGTAGGAGTAATAGTAAAAAGGATTATTACTTAAATGGTAAAAAGTTGCAGCATGCTGCTATGCAGACGGACCTGGGTGTCCTTGTGCATGAATCAAAGAAGGTAGGTCTGCAGGTACAACAAGTAATTAGGAAGGCACATGGAATTTTGTCCTTCATTGCTAAAGGGATTAAGATTAAAAGCAGAGAGGCTATGTTGCAGCTGTACAAGGTGCTGGTGAGGCCACACCTGGAGTACTGTGTGCAGTTTTGGTCTCCTTACTTGAGAAAGAATGTACTGGCACTGGAAGGGGTGCAAAGGAGGTTCACTAGGTTGATTCCGGAGTTGAGGGGGTTGGCTTATGAGGAAAGACTGAGTAGATTGGGATCATATTCATTGGAATTCAGAAGATTGAGGGGGGATCTTATAGAAACATATAAAATTATGAAGGGAATAGATAAGATAGAAGTAGAGAGGATGTTTCCACTGGCAGGTGAAGCTAGGACAAGAGGGCATAGCCTCAAGATTAGAGGGAGCAGATTTAGGACTGAATTGAGAAAGAATTTCTTCACCCTGAGGGTTGTTAATCTATGGAATTCCTTGCCCAGTGAAGTAGTTGACGCTACTTCAGTGAACGTTTTTTAAAAAAAGCAGATTTTTTTTGAACAATAAAGAAATTAAGGGATATGGTGAGAACGCAGGTAAGTGGATCTGAGTCCACGAAAAGATCAGCCATGATCTTATTGAATGGCGGAGCAGGCTCGAAGGGCCAGATGGCCTACTCCTGCTCCTAGTTCTTATGTTCTGAACCTACCTCCTCTCAGTTTATATTTATGATCTCTTAGACTGTCCCACAAGGAGGAACATCTGTTCAACGACCACCTTATCAATCACCTTTAGCATTTTATGTACCTTAATCAGATCCCCCCACCCCTCATTCTTCTGAACTCCAGCAAGTACAAACCCAAGCTATTCAACCACTCTTTATCATAGAATCCCTATAGTGTGGAAACAGGCCCTTCAGCCCACCAAGTCCACACCGACCCTTGGAGCATCCCATCCAGACCCATCGCCCTATAACCCACCTAATCTACACACCCCTGAATACTATGGGCAATTTAGCATGGCCAATCCACCTAACCTGCACATCTTTGGACTGTGGGAGAAAACTGGAGCACCCAGAGAAAACCCACACAGACACCTGGAGAATATGCAAACTCTACACAGAAAGTTGCTTGTGGGTGGAATTGAACTTGGGTCCCTGCTTCTGTGAGGCAGCAGTGCTGACCACTGAGCCACCATGCCACCCAATCTTTGTAAGAAAGCTTTTTCATCCCTGGAATCAACCTGGTGAACCTCATCTGAACTACTTCCAGTACCACATCATCCTTCCTCAAGTCAGGAAATAAAAAAAACTGGACACAATATTTCCAGGTGTGAACTTACCAACGCCTTCTGCAATTGTAACAACTCATTTATTTTTATAATCCAGTCCTTTTGCAAAAAAACTCAGATTCTGTTTGTCTTCCTTATTATATGCTGCACGTGCATACCCACACTCTGTGATTCATACACAAACACCCTGCACTGATGCATTTTGAATCTGTTTCAAAGGAAAAGGATGGATATTGCTGTCCTTACCTGGTCTGGTCTCCATTTGACTCCAAACCTATAGCATAAGTTTGACGCTCAACTACTCTGTGGGCAATAACAGCTGGCCCTGCCAGTGATGCCCGCAGCCCATAAAAATTAATTATATCCTATTTGTGTTTATTGTTTGAAAGCATAAACTCAACTCAGCATCTTCCTTCACCAGAACTTCAAATAAATCAATTAAAAGTTTTGGGTATTTCAGCTTTTTGTCATTTTTGAACTTTATTCCATCTAAAAACATTTCTGATCTTGATGCAGTTTGTGGAAATTGAGCAGTTGTCAGGAGAACCTGACTTTGGGAGAAATTATCAACAGTCCTCCCAGCCACTGGGTCCGCCCAGCCGCAGGAGGGCGCTGGGAGCCCGGGTCCGCCCAG